TTAGGTGGTGCTGTGGCTATCAATCTAGTTGCCACCAACGAGGAGAAAGGTGACATCGTAGGACTGATCTTAGAGAACACTTTCCTGAGCATTCGCAAGTTGATCCCAAAGTATGTTTTTGAATTCTCAACATGATTTCCCAGGGCAGCAACACTAACTTAAAACCAGTGTCTTTCCCCCAGCACGGTATCTGGCACGTTTCTGCCACCAATATTGGATCAGTGAAGATGTGCTGCCTAAGATCACCAAAACTCCAGTTCTTTTCCTGAGTGGACTCAAGGATGAGCTTGTTCCGTAAGTTTGTATAATAAAAGCGCAGCGTTCTCATTGCTCACCTAACTTAGCCCGTCGAATATGACCCAATTATTTGCCGTTTGCCAGTCTGAATGCAAGATCTGGCGTACGCTCCCGAACGGTGGTCACAATGACTCTGTGGCTGAGCCAGGCTACTTCGAACACATTCTTTCCTTCATTACGGAAGAAGTGCTACCTCCTAAACAGTAAAACGACATGGCTTACATCTCTTGCTTGGGAGTTTCGAATCCCCTCTGGCGAACCATCTGCCTCAAGCGTTTCCTCCCAGGTTTTTATTTCTCCCAACAAGTGCAAAAACTTCAAGCTGTAAGCTTTGCTCCAATGCTTGCCTGTCGAACCCCTCTTCGACGGCCGATTTAGACGTCTGGTTTCGGCCCCTACAACACAAGAATCAATTGACAGGAACAGTTAATTATGACCATGATACCCCTGCCACATAACCAAGACACGAATTACCCCTTGCATCCGTTCAAACGATCACGGCCTTCCGCTTATGGCCCTTCCTTCCTTCTACCTCTTCTTGTCTATTTCTTTCCTCCTTGCTCACTGATATCACATTCGCGGTTTTTCATTATCGGCTCATGATCGGGCGCTGGGCGTGTTTCATTTCTCGGTTTCTTTTTCTGCAGACCTTTGCTTCTCCCCTTTCTTATTAGCTCAGGCAATCATACTTCTGTGCCAACATCAAACAGGGAGAATCCTTTAAAACTGGTACAAATGTAATTATTTGATTCATCAATCTCTCGCTGTGCAGTCCTGGGATACCTACCAAAGACAAGTCCTACGTCGATGCGCCGCGGAACTTTTAGGCTTCCAAGGGAGAAGCTGCGGAAAACTCGGTATTTAAAGAGCGAGGCCACTAACCACTCGGGTGACTGCAGACTCAGCGAATTGTCAGCACGTAAGCACCGTTGATCCAAATTCGTTCTCAAGGCGCTTCATTTTCCTTGTTTTCCCTCGTGGTGGGAAGAATCGTCCATGTTCTAGCCTCAGCACGTACAAAACTAGAAAGCCACCTTTTGGTCGGATTCGAGCAGGCTTCATCGTAAACAAACTCTCGAAGAGGAGGTATTGCGCCATCAATCACTGCCAGTTGTGTATCCGGGGGTTCTCGGTGCCTGGATTGTCAGAAAAGGTGCATGGTTGCAGCAGATTCCCTCCAACTCCCAAGGCTCCGTGCTAAGGACCCTACGGAGCTTATCCAAGGCTATAGAGAAACACAGCGCTGGAAGGGCAACAAAAAAAAACCCTAGTTAGACCTTTTCGGCATGTTTACCAAGAGTTCTTCTACTCTTCATCAACCTTGCCTTGCCCAAACCAGACACTTCAAGTGACCAACCATCAAGACCACAGTATACAATACTGCTGAATGACATCGACCAATTCTAGAAAAGCTACTTGCACTAGACGTGGAACTGTTACTACAATGCACAGACCTGAACTCCGAAGATACACTATGGCAGATGTAACCAAGACACCTGTATATCCCGGAATCGATAAGCTTCTCAGCAATGGAAAGGCTGATATCAAACTTCTCACAGCCATCCCATATCCCTGCATTGGAATTTTCCGCTTCTGAAAGTCTAGTATAAACCTTTCCCCAATCTACGCGCAGGTCATACACCGTGCACGCGAGGGACATACCCTAACTGATCTAGCTGCTGTCTCGACCAGGATCTACGCAACGTTTGATTTGATGTGGGGCTGTCATCAGCCATGAACCCGATTGGAGCTGATGTCGAGGGTGATTTTATTCAACTGGGGTGTGAAAGATTCTAAGATGAAGATTCTTTTGGTGCCCAACTTGTCACTGGGAGCATCTCTAACGAGGAGTTCTTAGCTGATCGGCGTGGGCCTGTTGATATGATTTACTTGGATAAGTTCTTGCATCTTGGCTTGAGGGGCAGCGGGCTCTTATTCCTCGGCCTGGGAAAGTTCTTACTGGTTCTATGATTTTTGGACGTAACATTAATGCGGAGCAGGCAGGACTGTTTGAAATGGAAAGTCTTGGCTGTAATATGTATAGGCACAGCGATCCGATGACCAAGGATCTTTGGAGTTCTGTGGATGTTGCGGTGTGGGAGGTGCATGGTTGATTTTTTGGGGTTGAGACTGTGGCGACTTTGGGGGTGGGTCTGGGGATTGGCAGAGAGATGATATTAAACAGATGATATTCTGTGTCTCTAGGGGTTCAAAACACCACTAGAAAGAAGATAATTACTAGCGAGCAGAAACAATTTCGAGATTTTGCACTATAACACATCTACCACTGCATCTTTTGAACAAGTTACGAGAGCTAATTTATGCACAGAAGAAAGAAACACGTTCAGGTCACTTCTTTGTATATCAGAAAGCACGTAGATTGTAATTCCATCTCCAAGTTTTGGTTTACACATTCGTTCCATGATCAAAGGTCAATTCTTTGTAGACACCCGCGTCTATTATTGAAACCACGAAAGCCCAGATTCCGAAGATCTACAAATCCATCACGCAAAATGGAACAGGGCGATACATATAATACAAGTGACAAGGTTTAGTACAACGGAAACAAATTACGGAAGTTTCTCGGCTTCGTCCACCAATTCCTCAACCTTGAAGTTCTCAACATCACCCCGGGTGAACATGCGAACAAGCTCACTCTTCCGACCAGAAGCTTGTCCTTCAAAGTCATAGAAGCGCTGCACACAGCTAACAAGCCAAGTAGCCTCGGGGGCTGATACACCACCTTCAGGAATAATCTGACCATGCATAAGGACCAACCCCTTCTCATCCGCCAGATCGAGGTGGTGAGTGATAGTAGTGTGAGGCTGGGCAAATGCGCCGTGCATCTTATAAAGACCCAGATTCGTAAAGATCACAGTAGAGGTATGGTTATTGGAAGGCGACAGAGTGGACCCCTCAGCAGGTGGATGGAAAGCCCATTGAAGGAAATGGATGTCGGCAACGGTGTCAGCTCCCTCAGGCGCTTGCGCTGCCTCTTCGGGGGTCTGCGCGCGCGGGAGGGGCAGAATAAACTGCGGGTTCTCGCGTGCGGCTTGCATAATGCGCTTGTATGTGTCGAGGGGAATCGCGGCAGTAATAGCGTGCGAGTTCTCTGCGAAGCGGAGACGCCAGAGCGCCTCAATCTCCTTGGGTGGGAGCTCACGGATCTTCTCGACGTCCAGGTAGGTGCTGAGGGGTTTGACGGGACTGGAATCTCCGGAGACGGCGCGTGCGGCTTCGGCGGTGCGCGATTCCTGTGGAGGAGGGGGAGATTGGAATGATGGGGGTGTGCCTGGGAGGGCAGTGGTGGATGTAGGAGTTCCGGGCTCTGGAGTAGCTGCGGTGGATGCTGTGCGGCGGAGTTCTTGGATTTTTTCGTTGTAGGCTTCCTTCAAGGACTCAACTGTATCATATCCCTCCCTGGAGAAAACAGTCAGCACGGAAAGAGTGATTGTTGTCGAGAAAAGTTTGCTAACTCCTTGGCTTTCTGGTCCAGCTTGGACCGATACTTCTCCAAGACATACTTGGGATCGTGGTGCGAGGCGAGGAAGCGGACATCGTGGACCTGTGCCCATCGGCGCTGCTGATTACGCAGCAGGTGGGAGTTACCACGGATCACAGAGTGGAATCCCTGAAGTCGGAATGATGGCATTTTGAGTCTGAAGAGCAAATAAAATAAATATCAAGATAAGAGAAAGGCCGAGCAGGACTATAAGATGACATAATTGATGACATAAACAAATTATTGATGGCCATGAAATAAAGGCAGAAGTGAGCAGCATTAGGCATCAATACTGCCTAATTGGGACATGTGGGTCGTATCTAACTCACTGCCGGATACTCTATAGACATTTCAATATTATGCACTGGGTAGACACTGTCAGCTGTTATGCTTTTCTGCGAGCTTAGGACGGGGCGAGCAGAGTTGCCATATTGGGCTGGACCGGCGAGACCGATGCATACGTTTAACACAGCATCAGGAAGGTTCTTTCTTTTTTAAAACCCTCTGGACTTCAGAGTAGGTACCTACCAAATGAAAGAAAGAGCCACCAAGCAGTATAGTATACCATAACTAGAAAATTTGAAATGAGAAACACCTAGTTTTTCAGCATAATATCAATCTGGTAAATCTCCTCGTTGAGCTAGGCAAGCTGCACACTTTGATCCTTTGATCTGTGAATAGCAATCACAACGTTACCTTTTCAATTCTTTTTTGCTTTTGAACACATCTGAATTGACCTGAAATCAGAACTCCAAAAGGAAAAAGTGAAACCGCCGTCAACAGCCCATAGAACATCCACACCTCAACTAGCTCTGATTTGCTACCTCTATTTTTCCATAATATTGGTCCCTATCGATGTATCTATGAAAAGGGTTGAAAAAAATTTGGTCAGCTTTTAATAGATAATGTAAATGCCGGGTAATTACTTGCAAATAGTCTATTCTAATACTTGCACCTCTCGACATCCAGATTGATATCACGGTGGGCCTACCCGTGTTCATTTGTCAGCATTTTACTGCCCAACCAAGGTTGCCCTTGTGGACTGGGTCCCTGAACTATAACCTTAAAAGGCACCATCCTCTAACCCGTTCCAGCTCCTCAAAAACAGTCCCCTCATCTCCCAATATTCACCACACAACATATGTCCCACATCCCTATCTCCCCATCCCACAAAAAGAAAACTTAGGAAAACCCAACCAGAATGCCAGCCCACCAAAAAGAATTTTCCACTCCACCACCCCATCCCCCAGCGGGCACACCCAAGGACTCTCCATCTGCACTGCCCTGGTACTCCATCGCGCCGGGGGTATGGGAATTCCTGCTAAACGGCGATGGAGAACATAAAGCTGTGCTGCAATGGTGGGAGCCAAATGCTATCTCTGCGCAGATAGAGCCAATAACATATGACTGTATCGAAGAGGTCTGCACCTTGCGTGGCGGACTGGAAGACCTTTCGCTCGGACAGGCATGGGGTGTTGGAGCTTATGCCTATCGGGGACCTGGGATCCAGCATGGACCATATAGGGCGACGAAAAAAGGATGTCTGCAGTTTGTGAAGGTCGTGCCGGTGAAAAAGTAGTGGGGGTTTAAGGTTTTGAGTGTGTAGCTGGGATCCGTGGAGATTAATCGCTACAGATTTGGCTCTTTGAGATTTGCGTATTGATTGCTTGGCCTTTTTCGAGGATCGGTTTCAAAATTTCTAGCTAATTTTGCGGGTTTCCTTCTTTCATCTTGCTTACAAGCTATGCAAAAACATGAAGCATGATTCGCGTGATGCTTTCGACATGCGATATCGTGTCATGTATGATGAAACTCCAAACTCCGAGGGTTACGCAAGTAAATTCGCAAAGAATGAGACGAGTTAAACGCTTCTGAAAATTTGAATTTGTTCCTCAGATCGTCAATCATCAAATTTTGCACACAAGGTTAGATTGGCACATCATCTGCAACAGTTGCTTGAGCTTGAGTGGGGCGATCTTCCGCCGGAGTCTCCGTCTCGGGACCACAAGATTCAGGAGCAAGTTCAAGTTTTCCCTCAGGGTCCTCATGAACGGATATTTCCTGGCTCTGGTCCGGGTCCTGTTCCCCCGCTTCCTCTTTCTCCTCCTTCTCTTCAGCTTCTTCCCAATCATCAACAACCTCAGGCGCAGGGGTCTTGGCACGCATAGACTTCCCAGCCCCGACACCAGACCTCAGAACCAAGCGCTCCTTCTTCGCACCATCACCATCAAGAGCAGCATAAATAGACTTGCTCACCCACGAGTTCTGAACCGGAGTTCCAGTCCTCGAGCCAGCCCCACTACTACCCTTGCTCTTCGAAGCAACCTGAGCCCATCCGCCGTTGCCAGTACTAGCCTGTGCCTTGGCGGCTTCACGGGTGGCTTTAGCCTCAAGCGCAGCGACACGGCGCGCTTCTTGTTCTTTGCTGCGCTCACGCTCGCGGAGCTTGACACACTCGCGCACGCTCATGCTGCCGATACCGATGGTGGAGCCACTCCCCATGCCAAAGAGGGGAGGCATCCAGGCAATCGGTTTCAAGACGAAAACGTGGCGGTGGGGTTCTGGGTCATGGCTTTCCGTCACGAAGCCCCAGTCTGCGGCGAGGGAGTGCGCGAATGCGCGGAGAGTGGCTTTCGCCGGTTGGAAGCGGAATGAGCGGGTGGGTTTGTCTGCTGCTGCTAGGGCTTGGAGATTGGATTCGTAGGTTTGGAGTGTTGATAGAGGCACCGAGCATGCGAGCTGAACGTATTGGTTCAGAGTCTCTTCCGAGTATGGGAGGTTCTCGGCTGTGATAGTTTGAAGCGTGGTTGTCTGGTTGATATCGATGCCGAGAGCGCCCGCCAGGGAGCGGTTCCGCTCTAGGCGCGTACATTCATCGTCGCACGTCAACGGTGTCAACTCTGGGTGGCGTTGGGGCGACTGCACCTGGCCCTTGGAGGTCACGGCCTTAGCGGCATTGCAGCGTCTTTCTTGTCGTAATCGTCCGCAGCTACATGTCACTGCAATCTTGGACGAACACGATATCTTCTCGGAACACGCGTACGGCGCATGGCATTGCTCTGTGCACGGATGGCCGCACATCGTTTTGTTCTTTCCACAAGGCTGACTGCAAGGTTTGGTAGCGTCTTCGCAATCCTCCGGGCGATGACAGTCCTTACGGCAGAAGTGAGAGCCACACTTGAGCAGGCGTCCGCATATTTGACCGCAGCGTGCATCTGCTAGCCAGCAGGGCACGTTTTTCAACACTCGCCTTCCGCAGAGACACGCCTTTTCGGTCAAGAATGGACACTTGGGACAGTTCTCCTCGTCTGTGTGGCAGGTATGTGCAGCTTGAGGGTGGCCGCATCGCTTTGGACGCTCACAAGGCAAGTTGCACGCGGGGGGCTTTGCACCACACGGCTGCGGGGGATACAGAATAGATCTTCCGCAATTACACGGAATCTCTTCAAAGACTGCCTCCCTGCAGGTATTACATGCACCCTTGTGGCAAAGCTCTGGACATGTGTGCCTTCCGCATTTCAGCATCCGGCCACATATACGAGTGCAGATATGCTCTGCCTCGATGTCCTCGTCAGCAGGGCGAAGATGGGGCCTGAGTTTACGACGCGCAGCCTGGCGTTCGTTGGCCTTTTGCTCTCCCGGACAACACCTTTCAGTGCATGCATGTCGACCACAGTGTAGAGTCGCTTTGCACATGCGTGGGCACTGGGGAGGCTCATTCTGGCCTTGGTGACATATTGTCAGGTTGTTAGTGCGACCACAGTTGCACTTGATGTGAACATTGCGCAGACATGCGCCACAGGATCCAACGTGACAGAGTTTCTCGCAAGTATGACCACAAGGAAGTGTCTTCCCGCAAGGCTTTTGACAATTCAAGACGGGGTCTTCGCAGGAGGTCCGAGGTGTGTATCCCGGGATCTCAGATAATGGTGTCTTGCCACAGGCGCAGTTGACAATGACGTCTGGTGACTGTGGGCAGTGTGCATGATGAGGATCTTGCGGATGACATATCTTCTGGCATGAATGCTTGCCACAATCAAATGGACGATTACAAGTCTCTCCACAGTCAAAGCAACCGGTCCATTCATCTTCTGAGCCATCGTCGCGGACAAGTCGACTGTCCTCCTCATCGTCCTTTGACTTACATAGCATCTCCGTCTGCAGTTTTCCACAGTAGCAACGGGCGTCGATGCTAACCTCGCAGCCGCCACACAATCCCTCATGACACGGAAGCGGACATGTATGTTCCCCGCATGGCAGCAACTCACCGCATATTTCGCCACAGCTCCATCCATTCTCATAATCGGTATCCTGACAACGCTTCTGCGACGAATTAAGGCCACAGAAACAATCTTGAATCGGGCCCATAGCAGTACAAGGCGTACAAGGGCCAGCATGACAAGTCGTGTCACAAGGATGGGGGCAATTTTTGCGAGGTCTTGAGCAAGTTTGACCACACGAGTGTGGAGGCAAACCAGGAAGCGGTCTAGGATCGACCTCTTTTTCACACCAGCAAGAGTAGCTCGTGGGGAAATTTTGTTGAGAAAGGTTACAGCCCGGACAACGCCAAGCGCGAGGAGTGGGTGTTTCCTGCCCATCATCTTGAGCAGAAGGTCTCTGTGCAGCTGCACCCTCATTCGTGGACCATTTCTTGACACAGCTCAGATGAAAGACAGTCCAGCATAGCTCACAAGACCAGACCTTGGACCTGCGGCCCAGCTCGCTGCAGCAGATAGGACATTCGTACAAGTTGTGCGAGATGTCTTCATGGATGCGGGTGGCTAGGTCGTCGGCTGTGGACTTCGCCGTGACTTTAGGTGGTGGCGGTGCCCTAGGCTGTCTAGCTTTCCCTTTCCCTTTTGAAGATGGCGTTGGTTCAACAGGTTGTCGTTGTTGAGATGACGGTATCGGTGCAAAATCCGGTACAAAGTCCGGTACATCGGCTCTTAGTGAGTGGTCATGTAAATGCCCTGCACCGTGCAATAGAGGGCCATTTTCGGCCTGGTCTGGTCTTGTCAACTTCGCTTCGAAGCCACGCGCTCTCATTCCACGGGTTCGCGCCTCGAGTCGCGTCTCTTGGCTTTCAGGTCTTCCATTCTGACTCTGTCCCTGCCGGGGAGTGTTCTTTTGTCTCCGGCCTCTTCCTTCTCGGGTCCCTCCCCTCCGCGAGCTGGACGGTCCACCATGTTGACTGGGCTGAGGTGTTACATTCGACTGTGGTAGAGATTGGGTAGGTTGTGCTAGTGGCGCCGCTTGATTTTGTGATTCACCTGCAGGCATTTGTTGTTGACCATCACGCTTCGCCGAACCCCGCCCTCTGCGTCTAGATGGCCTGGAAGAACGTGGGGGCCGTGGCCCGGCTGGAATTGAAGCCTCAGGCTGTGGTGTTGCCATGACCGAGAATGCACCTGGGTCTGACTGGAGAATCCTTGCGTACTTCAATGCTTCCAGTGGATTTTCTCACTGGCGCTTGTTTTGAAGAGAGTAACTGGTGGTCGACTGAGTGTGTGGGTCTATGTAGACTGAAACGGTGGGGCAAGGTGAAATGAGCGTAAGCCAGAAACTAAATAGTGCAACAAGAAAGAAAGTCAAAGGCAGAAGCCCACTTATAGAGTGAAGAGAGAAAATTGTTGCACAATTAATTATCTAGACGGCGATAAAAGCTCGCCTGGCAGAATTGGGCGGTGCAGCAGGCGGTGACGTAGTGGCAAGCGGCTCAGGTGTGAGTCAGCTCCAGGGGAGTTGCACAACATGACTCACTGTGCCCAGGTGGCCCTAGGCGGCCCCTGGTGGTCAGGTTGGTGATCTATGCATTCAAGCCGTGCTTCGTGTTAGGGATAGCACGAACTGTTGCAATTCAGGTTGAAGCATGTAATCACAAAGTGAGGATCCACGGGTGATTGACTCCACTTTATGCCAAGACATCAAAGACCCAGCACAGGAGGTTCATGTCTAAAACACCATCTCGTGGCTTATTCAAAGCACAATCAGACTTCGGCAATATGGTTGATCATAGGGAAACCTGGTGATCTCTATCGATTCCATGCGTTGCAAAAGAAACGAGAACAGAAAACACAGCCAAAACACACTTGTCAATTCAATTTAGTCCCAATTCTGAATTAACGTAGACAAAATGCAGATTATCGAAACCAGCGTGCCAAAATAAACATGGCGCTATGCAAAAGACCAGCTCTTTCACCTCGTAACAAAGAATCAAACCACAGATTCTCATCTTTCAATTTGACTGAAATCATACACGCCGAGTCCATGCTCTATATGAACACAACAATCTCACCACGATCATTCCGTCTGAGTCTTAACGCACGGAAAAGATCCTTCTCATCATCAACCTTTCGTTCCCGACCCGCCCGGCTGCGCCCATTATCACGACCACGATCAGCATCATACTCATCCGACAGCTCACGGTGGAAGCGCTTAAGTGCCTTGTTAATGGAGCAGCCACGCTCGCTATGGCTGGCCACCAGCGACAGGAAGTGATGACCCAGCTCCCGCTGCAGATCCTCATCCGTGCGCGCCGGCGGCCGCGACTGCTTGTAGACAGTGACCTGGTGACCGTTGGAGGAGTCGACGGAGCCGCGGCGCTCGTCGCCTTGCTTAAGACGGCGGGAGGGTCTGTCGCCATCGGTGGGGTTTGAGCTCTTGCGCTTGGACTTGCGGGAGTCATCGTCGTCTGCGTGTGAGCGGTGCGACTTCTTGCTCTTGCGGACGTCGAGGTGGCTGTCGCCACTAGAGGAGCTGCCGCGGCGGGTTTGGACAAGAGTCTTGGAACCGGGCTCCGAGCCGTTGATGCTGGAGACGGCCGAGCCGCCGAACATGGAGGAGACGAGGCGGCCGGCGCGGTTCTTCATTGAGATGCCAAGACCTGAGTCGTCGTTGCCGTTGCGGCGGCTGCGCTTGATCGGGGACGAGGTGTCTTGGTAGGCGCGACGGCTAGTTTCTGGACTGTCGTCGCCGTCGGGGGATGCAGAGCGCATCATTCGGTTCAGGCCACCGGTTAGGCCGGAGTGGTTCAGCATGGGGGTGCCGGCATTGTTGATGATACTGGAGGGGGCGTCCATCATTGCGGTGTCGACTAATTCCCCTGGGGTGTTGAGCACATCTGCTTGGCCGCGCTTGCGCTTCTTCTCGCTGACGGTGCCGGGGGGCTTATCCTCGCGACGGCGGTCCTTCTTCTTCTTGGGTGCGGGTGTGACGAACTCTGTCGTTGACGCGTTCGGGGGCGAGGCTGAGTGCGAGATGTGGCCAGCACCGTATGAAAAGCCATTCTCCTCGAATGCGATGTCGTAGTTTTTACCCTCGTTATCCGTGTTGGGGTTGGTTTCGACGCGAGTGAGGGACTCGCTGGGGTCGAAGACCGATTTGGCATTGGGGTTCATCTTCATCTGTTCCTTGGGCGCAGCCACAGAGACCTTGGATGCGTTTGGAGTTGCATCGGCGACCAGATAGTCGAATACATTGACAGCCTTCTCATTGTTGGCGGGAGGAGAAGCGACAGTTCTCACCTCGCCGGCAGGCGGGGGCGTGGGGGCAGGGGGAGGAGGAGCGTCCACCACATGGGGTTGCTGGTGGCGGCCGTTGGGGGTTTGGTTTGGATTCTGTTTCTTTTGTCCCTTCTTTCCTTTCTGGGGCTTCTCTTTATACAAAGCACCCTGGTACTTTTGCGCCTCGCTCATGCATGACTATAGTGACCGGTCTCGTTAGCGGATGTCTCCGTTGTTGGTTTGACTGGGACTCTAGTAGAGTAGCCCGACAAGCATTATGCGAAAACGCGACGCGGATCCAACGTACCGTATGAGCTCTATACTCCATTCCGTAAAAATGCACCATACAATCGATACAGGTGAAGGAGGCACCGCGACATTGGCCGCGATGGGGGTCGAGCTTTTTCTTGGTGAGAACATCCCCGCATGCCTAGACTTCATGTTAGCAGTGATTCAAAGACAAGGCATACACCTCGGACACCAGATAGAACTCACCTCGCAAGAGAAGGAGACCATTGTTGACACTAAAGATCACCCTATCAGGTGCGCAAACGAGAGGTTGAAGGCGTTAGTTTTTTTTTTTTTTAAGAAAGGGGCCCTAATTCCTTGAGAGAGTGCTAGTAAAAAGCGTTTCAAGCGGGGAATTCGCTTTGATACGAAGTTCTCTCTATCGCAGCTTTTGCTCTTTTTTTCCTTTCTCTTTTCGCGTCGATTTTTGGCGCGCAGGTTCACACTAGTCCGAATCGGGAGCCACCCTAGGCTATATTAGGCAAGATGAATGGGCTGGGCGCATCAAGGTAGCGGGAAGTGTAGTCTTTTCCAACTACTTTGGGAACATTCATTGTCTAAAATAATCGAAGAAAGCGAGAACCCCCTGTTTTATCATCCCTTGACTCGGTACATGTTTCAGTGTAAAATGGCGCAGATCTCACACGGACATGGATGGCATGCCTGTCAGGAGGCCCCATGCTTTCATTTGTCCCCTCTTCCCAGTTGGACGGACGCGGGGAGAATCCGATAATGTAGATTGGCCCTTGTAACGTGCTTTGTTGGCAGCTATCCTGCTCTCTTTGACCTAAAAGACTCTTCCCGGGCCTTTCATGTATACTAATATGCATAAAAATGCCGGCCTGGGAGGGTCATGCCACATGAAACTAGTCGATCTCTCGAAACGTCGGTATCACGAGAGTGCAACCTGACCACATCATTGCTGTTGCTCGTTGTGAAGAACAAAAGAGACTTTGACCGGTACTTTCTGACCAGGCAAGCTTGGTACGACGGAATGCGTCTTTTAGTCTGCTTTGTTGGTCAAGGATATACTGGCTATGCCTCTGTGGTCATGCGCGCCATCCTCACACTTGATCACCAGGTAGAATGATACTTGCGCGCAAAATGCTTGGGTTACGCCTTTTGATGAGATTGGCAATCTAGAGGCGGGACTTGGACACCACTAGAGCTTATTGTAACTCACTATTCTATAGGATTAGGATATGCTCTTGAAGTATCTATTCTCTCCAATATGCGGAAATGATCCTGAACAACCTCCTAAAGAAATACCCTAGAGAGTGTGCCAGAAAACACGATGCGCCCAAGGGGATCTATTACATCGGTACAAAGGTATAGGTTTTTAGATATGGGCCTAGGAACACACCTTCCTTTATGCCAAAGGCCACATGCAGAACGCAACAAGGGTATATTGATTGATATTGACGTAGTCAACTGACGATATATTATTGTACAAGGGAGACCAGCTCCATAAGCGTGAGAGACAAGGTGTCGACACCCAAAGCATCCAAGTACCGGGTATGGAGTAGATAGATGGAGCTCCGAAATCGAAAGAATAGTCGGAGATTCATCCCTTCAACCGCGAGTTGTCCTAAATCGCAAGTTAGCAATCAAACAGCCATAAGCAGTTTGCCACAGCGGGAAGGCACTAACTCTTCCTTCGAGATCTCCACAGCAGGGCCATCATGTTGCCCTGTGCCCTCCTTCCCAGTATCAGGCCGAGAAGCAGCCGACACCTCCTTGGGCTCACCCTCCTTCTCATCCCCACCGCAACCGCAGTCATAGAATTCCCCTAGATTGGTGCAGTCAAACTCAGGCTTGTCGAGCATGGTATTGACCTCGTTATGAACGAAGCAAGCCCAGCCCGAAGCTGCATTTCGCGACGAAACCTGAGGCGGATACTTACTCAAATGCTGCATGAAATGCTCCGCACATTCTCCACTGATGTCATCGACCGTTAGCTTCCAATCCACCACAGAAAATCGCACCAGAAAAGTGGAGCATTTGGGAAAGTCTCATTACCAAGGATATAATCGAGCAAACAGATAGATATAAGAGCGCAGCGCCTCTTTCTGGTCTTCCGTGGGTGTCTCGGGGAACCGCGCCATCACAGTGTGGAAGTACTTCCAAGTCGCACGACCTAGTTCAGCCCTTGAAAAGCCACGACTTCCGTAAGCGAATTGTCCCATCACGCTCGTGTACTGCCCAATGGGTCTCTCTCGGAGTACCTTACTTGACAGTCTCATTGCCTAGTTTCGGCATTATCACATCGCCCTTCAGTGTGCTATCTTGGATGGTTATCCCCGGTGCGGATGCCGGTGCCGAGTGGTCGATGTGGCCTGGGGCGCGGATGGCGGGACTCGGTGGCCCCTGTGGTCGAATAAACAGGAAGAAGATGAGGCATAGTGCGATCGATGCGCTGGTGACAATGCGCCGTGTGATTTGTCGGCTCGCCATGTTTGCGAGCAGATGGTGATGGTAGGGAAAAAGTAATGTCGCCAAGCGTCCGGTCGCGGGAGCACCTGGGACTTGTGAACAGGGAATGTTCCTGTGCAGAATACGAGATTGAAGATTTCAGGAGAGATTTTGAGAAATGAGTGTTAAAGGAGATTTCTATAAAGGGGATTCTACGAGTTACCTACTTGGGCCCGGGGTAAGTTGCAGCTTAGTCAGGGTTCGCCGGGCCTCCTATAGTGCGGGGCCGCGAGTAACTATAACTTGCCCAGAAAGAGTTCCAAAGTGTGTATCATACGATTGATCAGTAGAGATCACACGATTTGGAAAACGTGTCTCCCTGCTCGGTGAAATTTCATTTATGCTGATTATACTACGCCTCCGACTCGAAGACTCAACCCCTCTAAACCGAAATCGGGGTGTGTTCCAGGGGTTTTACTTCTGAAGTGGCAGGGTTTGGCCTGGATGCACAGAAGAGTTGATAGACTGCCAGATAGCATTTTCAGTTGTTGGGAGCGAGGTTTCTGACTAGTACAATGTTGTGTTCGATTCATGCTTATCTACGTCCTATCGTGATCTCCAACTGCAGCAACCGAATCACTCAAACTCGGGGGCAAGTCCTCCTTGCCTGTACCCCAGCCGCTCTCTTTGTCCCCGAGTGTCAGCTCCAGCGTCATACCCCGAGTAAAAAACTCGTGTCCGATCCAGTTTTTGGTGTAAGGCTTCCCATTGAGCGTTGCACTCTGGATATATATCTTATTGTAGGTATGGTCGAAGTTGACATTCCGAATGGTAGCAGTTTGATTGGTTTCAGGGTGAGTGATTGCAACGGCCTCAAAGAATGGAGGAATAATCAGATACACATCCTGACCGGGGTTCGGGAAGAGACCCATCAAGCTCCATGCCAGGAAGGAACCCATGGCTCCCGAGTCGTCGTTCCCAGGTAGCCCGTTGTGCGTGGCGTTGAAAGAAGACGGGATGTAAGCGTGGACTCGGCTGGCGGACAGACCAGGGCGTCCAGCATAATGGTAATCGTACACGGTCAAGAAGACAGGTTCATTGCCCATGTCTGCCAAGCCAGAGGTGTGGAAATAATCCAACCGAGACACGAAGGACCTCGGGCCGCCGACCATCTTGATCAACTTTGCCATGTCATGAGGGACGAAACTATCCAGGGTTAGCATTGAAGGCTTCCCGGACAGGGAAGATTATACGCACAACAAGTACTCCCAGATACTGGACTCGAATGTCTCTGAAGGGTTCGAGGTAAGAGAGCACCACGACGCCAGCGCACTGCAGGCAATCGGGTCCTGATATCCCCAAGTTCCATTAATGTACCTTGGCTGAAAGAACCCAGTAAAGCCAGTATCTGTACCATTCCCAAGCAGCGATATCTGGTCTTCTTTGTACAAGTTCTGCCAGTTGCCAGACCGAGACAAATAGGTGATGTAATCCTTTTTGCCGAGGCCCTTGGCTACAATTGATAGGCTGTAGTCATTATACGAGTACTCTAGCGTTCGCGAGATACTCCGTGAATTGGTTCCAAAGCCTATATAGTCGAAGTCCAGATATGGGATGTAGTTGAGGTGTTTCCAGCTCTGCAGACCACCTCGCTCTTCATATGACCATTCGAGTGGTTCGTTCTCTGCATCGTTGACCATAGCTTTGTAGGCAAGTTCCCAGTCAATACCTGTAAGGTTCTTCACGTAGGCATCTGCGAGAACAATATCGGCATTGGAACCTCCCTGTGTCCAGCCTTTGCAGAGACTCATGCGGCAGTCGGGCAGCCATCCTTCGTGCTTGAAGGTATCCAGCAAGCTACGGACCATTTTCGACTGTGTTGTTGGGTCAATGATTGTGAGAAAGGGATGCTGCGCCCGAAAAGCGTCCCATAGACAGTAGAAAGAGTCGAAGTATGGCTCATCACTTTTCCATAGTGGATTTTCCCCAGTCAGATCTTGAGGTGATAACATGGTTCGGTAGATACCACTCCAGAAACTGCCGATCAGGTCTTTGCTAGCACCACCCGGCCTGATCTTGATAGGACTGAGCTTTTCCTTCCATGCCGTCTCGGCAATTTTGCGCAGACCATCAAAGGCATTTTCCGGTTCAGGCACTTCCACTTCAGCGGTTTTGCAGGCTTGATCTGAGCTAATAAAGCTGACTCCTACCCTTACAGTCACAATCCCACTATTTGGACGGTCGAAGGCCATATAGCCTCCAGCTTGTAGGTAAAAGTTGTTGAAACCGCGAGTGACAAATAATTCCTGCACTGACCCAGCTCGGTCATTCACCCAGATTCCGCTATCATCGACCTCAGCATCGCCGAAATCAGCACAGAAATATGACTTGTAAGAGCCAGCCCCAAAGCTCGGCAAGAAAGTACCATTGCCTTTGATTCGACCTTTGTCAGCGTCAAGGCTAATAGAAGCATTCTGTCGACTATCCCACAAATCAGTTAGATCAACCGAGATCAACGGATTGAGGTCGTCTCCATCCGCCGTCTGTCCCTTTGGGAAAGTGAATCGGTACAATGCTGTGCGCCGCGCTGCAGTCATCTCAGCCTTGATGCCATTCTCGAGCGTCAGGGCAAAGTAGCCAAGCTGCGCAACCACAGAATCATTCTTATAGTGAGCCGCGCGGGCGGCTTTCGGGAACTTGCAATTCTCCACAATATTATCTTTGCAGTACTGAGGGAACAGAGGAAAATTTCCCATCGAGGGATTTCCGCCCGTACCACTATCATGCATGTGCGAGAAGCCCGTAACATTGCTTCCATCAGTTGAGAAGCCTCCAGTATTCTGGCCGTCGACATCAGCGACAGGCTTTGCCATGCCATATGGGAGGCTTGCGCCTGCGAAAACATTTCCGCCATTGGTCGATCCGATCAGGGGATTGACATAGCGAAGGTTATCCTGGGTTGCCACTATACTTAGGGCAAATTGAAGAAGTAACAAACTGAACAAGGTGTTTTTCTGCAAAAATGCCATGGCGTGGTGGAATTAGTCGAACCACGCGTAACCACGCGTTAAATTTGTGGGTCTGGGCTGTGAATAACACGATGGATACAGAAGGCGGGAAGAATTAGCGAGCACCTTTCCTGCGAGGAAGGTGTGTTTCACATCACCGTGTTGTAACGTCGCATCGTTCGTGCGATCAACTGCCAAAACGGTGTTAGTACTGGATACAAGGGCGGCCTTTGTGTGCGGGGTTAGCGTATTTTGAAGTTCCGCATTGTTGCATGAAAGGTCACAGAGGCCCTTTAGGCCATTTCAAGGTAGTGAATTGGAATTGCATTATAGGTGTTGGTACTTGAAATCAAGTTTCTCTATACGCAACGTTACATATTCCATCTTACACTAGATTGTTCCGCTGATCCAAGTAACAAGAGTGAAGGAAAATTACCTAATCTTGTGTAATCTAGTGTGGATCATATGATCCACTCGTCAACTATCAAACCTTAACTGTAGCGTCCACTTGACCTTGTCATCTCTGCGTCTGGATATTGTCTCCTTACTGCTTTTGGTTAATGTTTTTTTGATTTTCAACCCCTATACACAGAGTCTACAAATTGACTTGTCGTCTTTTTGGAATCCAATACATCTCAGTGATCACCGGACTACAACATGCGTCTGGGTCCCATATGAATCGAGTGGAGCACCGCCCCACTCAGCTTTCACTGATGGAGACTTCAAGATGTACAAACAAAAGCTAAAAACCCTGCCCGATCTCAGTCTCGAGCTATTGCTCATGATTTCAAACAACTTGTCTCGCCTTAGACAACCTCAGATTGCTGGGTTACTTGGTAGCTGGATGCCACAACCTACCAAAGAGCCGCACGCGGGGGCTCGATGATGGGCCGCGACTCATTTTCTTGACAAACTTTTCTCGTGACTTCCCACAGTAGTATCTCTGTCACGCTTGCCTACGACTTCATCTTTGGCAAAAGGTCGCTCTACCAAGTCCCACATTCTAAGTTCCAGCCTGCGTAGAGTCCGTCCTTAGACCATAGCGTGCATCGCCTCAGATGGCCTCTTTGTATTATACATGATCCAAGCCTCGCATATCACAGGATTTATTTTTGCTCATCTTCAACTTGCCATGCGAAGGTTCTACTACGGAATTTCACTTGGGATCCCTGCTGAGCCTTTGCTCTATACCGAGGCGAGAACCAATCCTATCACGGACAAAGCGCTGAAGCCTACCAAATCGCAGGATAGAGAAGAAATTGAAGGTAGTCAAATGAAAGATTTACTGTCAGTTGACACTCACATCTACTCGAGCCCTCCGAGCCTTTACTTACGAACACAAGAGCTGGCAGTAGTAAGGCGGCAGAACTTATCGCTGTTATTGCCACTTCTTAAAGATGATGCCATGCACAATTGAATGCATATAGCCCTATAGTTTTAATTTAAATTCTGTCGTTGACAATCTCATGAACAAATATCGCTATGACACGATAACAAAACCCCAAGGCAAAGGACGCTGCAATGAATGCAATACCTCACGGCAAATTGAGACACGGACTTATGCGGCAGACATATATAACACCATGTGTGTACAACAGAGATACGTTGGGTCCAATTCCTTGAATCCAGGTGATGAAGTTGAATGAGATCTTCCAATCCTTTTGATGCTATACAATATGACTAGAAAGTTCGCTTTTTTTACAAGTCCCCAGGTGACCTTACCCCCTGACGATTTCCGCCGAAACGGTACAAAACTGCCCACCCGCAAGCTTACTCATCATGGCTGGACAGATTGCAAGAACAATTCCTTTCGAGTGTTCTCCACATTCCAAGGCGAGAACTTAGGCAAGAATCTAGCCATCATCGAAGAGAACCAGAAGCTCGCTACCGGCAAGGGACGCAAGATTAGCCAGCGCTAGCCTAGGTTGTCTTCCAGTGAGTGGCCCCCCTCACGGGAACTGCTAAGCCACACGGTAACAGAGATCGTTTTGCGCGTTGTGCTATGGTTGGACATTTAGCCGAGGGAAATTTAATTGGAAACCGGTTGGGCTTGCTTGCGTCACCAACTTCGGTATAGCTGCCAATTGACCAAGACTTTCCAATTCACCTAGAGGGATATCCCGTAGGTTAAGTTGTTCGCTGATTCTAGACCAAGGACTTACTGAAAGATATTGCGCAAGCTAACGGACACGAACGGACAGGATCCTTGCAGAGTATTTGCAAAGTAGACTGAACGGCAATTTCGACGAGGATCCCGGGAGCAGTAGATTACACATGGTGGCAGTGGATGTCAACCTCATTCACATTGGAAGAAATCATCGATGGGTGCATTTCGGAAAATGAGTGGGTTGGACAAAGTCAAGATTAGATTAGATGAACCAAAGTGATTGGTCTGATTGATAATCTAGTCTCCGCAGACTGGAATTATTGTTGGGTTATCCAAGACTTTTGTCCGTTACTGCCAGTGCAGGGTTTTTGTCCTGATTCGCGCGGTCGCATGGAGGTCGTGCGCGATCGTTGGATGATGTTAAAGGCTGAGTGAGTGGGCCGTTGGAATCCCACAAAAGAACACGGTTGGGACTAGTAAACAACATATACTGTGAAGCGCCTAGAGCGTTTGGGGGAAAACACGACCCAGCCCCACAGGGAACTAGGCTTAGCTTTGCCCCAAAGCCAAGGGTACACATGGGAAGCTTAGCTTAATAGCGTCATAAATTTAGGTTGAGCATATCTGATTGAAATCAGATAGATCAGAAATCAGATAAGAGGGAGTAAAAGTCAAATTGCGGCATGTGTCCATGGACCGAGGAGCCGAAGGCGATTTGTTCCACGAAGTTCAATTGAGGTGAGCTGGTGACCTCGGAGACTCGGAGATTAGAAGATTCATGCACGAGGCCAATAGTTGCTTGTTCCTTTGGTTTTCTATTGGGGGCTAGAAAGGTGTTAGTTTTTTTTTGCTATTTTGAGCTTCTCAACTGTGAACTTTGGCTGTATGGAGTATGGAGTATGGAGTAAACCGCGTGCTCATGCAAGGGACATACAGGCAGATAGCCTTCCTGGTGAAAGGGCAGTAAGGGGAAAAAAGAATAGATTGAGATAGATGATCGCATAATTCGGATCGAAATGTGAGATCTTGATGTCCGCCTCTTTAAAGCGGTAAAAGTAGTTGACGCAAACGGGGTGGCCGCATCAAGTAGGCAACTGAAAAGAGAGAAATGTGAGCCTGGGAACTTGGGAGAGGAGAGGAACGCTAGTCCAAAATAGGCCAAAAAGTCAGAGATCGGCCAATCACGGATCTTGTCCCCACGCTGTCTCTGCCACTGCAACCCCTGATTGGGTCAACTATCAGATTGCCCCGGTCCGCTTACCCCGAGATTATCTGATCCTCGTCGCATCGGATTCTCCCGTCGAGAGCGAGGCGAGGGGAAAAAAAATGGAGACTGTGTCTGGACCACTCAGGAAATTCTTGCCTGGAGTCTCCCAGTGCACTCGCCAGATAACAAGAAAAAACAGCCCCTCCAGTATTGCAGATCTTTCCTCTCTTCTCTTTCCATCCTTGCAAAACACTCTACACTCAACTTTTGTCAATCCTCATATCGTCTCTCCGGAAGCAACTGGGGACTTGGCAACTGGTTTGAGTTCCTGTGGCCGGACGAAGGCGACATACAGTGATGGGTCTCCCCATGGCGGCTGAAGGTCGCGATGACGGCAAAAACATCGATCGGACTATAGTTGGAGAGGAATCACATGGCTTGCAAATTGATAAAATGAAGGCACGCGGGACTAATGGCGATAATCCATCACAGCATGGTCCCGAATCACCGCCCGGATCGGACGGCTCTCACGCAGGCGATATATTCGATGACGAGAAGGAACTAGCACAGCACCCCGACAGTGTCACGGAGGGTGCTCAATTAGGTCAGCAGAAGGCGGAAGCAGCGGCGCTCGCATGGAACCGGCCAGCTTTGGTTGGAATATATGCTTGGTAAGTGAAACGTGGTTTGGCTATTCCTGCTTTTGGGACAAAACCTCTCTTCTGACTAGGGTTGTACTGGCAGGATCTGGATCTGCACGTTTATGTTGGCATTTCACTCGAATATAAGCGGCTTTCTGATCAACTATATCCAAGGAGGGTTCAAGACCGCACCGCAGGTCTCCACCTCCTATATCCTCGCGAACATTGTGGGCGGCGTCCTTAAGCTGCCGCTTGGTAAGACCTTGAACTTGTGGGGTCGTGCTGAGGCTCTGGTGGTCTCGACAGGCATTTACCTTCTTGGCATGGTCATCCTCGCTGCATGTGATGGTCCCAATGGGTATGCGGCGGGATATGTGCTGTACTGGATCGGCTACTATTGCTTATACCTGATCTTGAATGTTTTTGTGGCCGATACCTCAGGTCTAAGGAACCGAGCGTTCGCTTTTGGCTTTATGCAGACGCCGTTCATCTGCACTGCATTCACAGGCAGTCTTGCAGCAAACTCGATCTACGCCAAGTACGGGTGGCGCTGGGGTTATGGCATCTTCTGCATAGTGATGCCGTTTGTGTTTTTGCCCCTCGCAATCGCTTTCAAATACTTCGAGAAGAAGGCAGAAAGGAAAGGCATCTTCCGACGACAGCCCAGTGGTCGTACTGTAGAACAGTCTGCCATCCATTATATCCATGAATTTGATGGTAATAATACCCAAACCGAAGGTCGGGGTGTTGACACTAACGTTACGTTGCTAGTTATTGGCGCTTTCTTGCTCATGGCTGGTTGGGTTTTGTTCCTTCTACCATTCAGTTTAACTCAATACGGCCGCTCTACGTACTCAAGCGCAAAATTCATTGTTCTCCTCATCCTCGGAGTTGTCGTGTTGGGGGTCTTTGCAGCATGGGAGAAATGGGTGGCTCGAACTCACTTTATCCGCTACGAGTTGATCAAGCGGCCGACCATTCTAGGCGCATGCATCCTGGCCGCCGTACTCTTTTTCAGCTTCGAGCTCTGGGATCAGTACTTCTACAACTACGTCCTGATCTCCTACGACATTTCCCCAGTCCATGCAAATTACATGATTCAGATTTATAACGTCGGCTCTTGCTTCTTTTCTCCCGTCATTGGAGCCATTATCTGGGCCACTGCGCGCTTTAAATACATCTGTCTATTCTTCGGAGCCCCGCTTATGATCCTGGGCTCCGGGCTGATGATCTACTTCCGCGGCGCAGACCATGGCATTGGCTACGTCGTCATGTGCCAGATCTTCATTGCCTTCGCCGGCGGCACCCTCGTCATTGGCGAAGACATGGCTGTAATGGCGGCAGGTGGCCGTGAGGGCACCCCGATGATGCTGGCCCTCATTGGATTGTTCTCGAACATTGGCGGTGCGATCGGCCTGGCTGTTGGCGCTGCTATCTACAACAATGTCTTCGTCGATACTCTCACAGCACGATTGCCGGACAATTTGAAGGCCAATGCCACTCAGATCTACCTTGGTGGTATCACTGTGCAGTCAACTTACCCATGGGGAACTCCTCTTCGCGAAGCTGTTGCGTATACGTGGGGCTATGCTCAGCGTTTGAACTGCATTGCTTCTACTGCCATATTGGCTTTGACAATTCCTTGCATTCTGGCCTGGAAGAACTACGAAGTAAACCGGAAGCAGAACAAGGGTGAAATGATATTCTGAACAGGGTTTTTACTGCACAATATGTCCGGTTGGCGCACGAATTAGCAAATTTTGTTCATGTGTCGCGTTGTTTTGGCTGTGCTGCATCCTCTGCCGTGCAGAGTAAGGGTCACTGCTTTCAACATTTATTTCTCGTAAGTATCTTATTGAAGATGAATGATGCTAGTATATACATATCTCACTACATTACAACCTTAGCTGTATATTACAGAGTTCTCAACTGGACGTCAGGACGGAAGCCCACAGTGGCATATTCTATCGTCGGTGCCGTGCTTCCACTTGCTGGTCCGAAGATGCATGCTGCTCTTGGGTGGTTGGGGCAACTCGCTGCCTGGACTCACTACTCTGGTGTTTTGTGCATTTCAGGTCGTCTTTTGGTCTATGGCGAACGCGTTATGACGAGTTTTAAATTCCAGTTGACTTTCTGATCGGGTATCAGTGCTCGTGTTGAGAACGGACTGGTATGCGTCTAGATTCGTCTTTGCACTATGTAGTTCGGATTATAGATACGAGTGATGTTGAAGATGAGTCTGATTAAGCGTGTTGGTTGGTGAAAAGGGTCGTTCAACCTAAAAATTACCTGTGCATGTATTTACAACTCCAAGAGTCAACTCTGTGGACTGAGTCGTAGCTGGCATCTTCTAAAAGGACGTCGATCTTGGCTTCTAAGCTTCTGCAGGGCAAGGTTTGTTCGCACAACGCACATGGTATTGGTGTAACCGTATGCCCAGTAGATCTGCCACAAGTTGTACCAAAATTTAACGCTATCTTCTACGGCGGTACCCGGAGCCCATCACGAAGAGTGCAGCATGGCCGCATCTTGTCCGTATCTGCTTGAAATTATCCTTGCAATCTCGGCCTTACACTTGGCCTCAGTTAAAACAGATCATCGGACTTTGTAGCTGAATCATGCCGTGCGATATCAGAACAAGGAATGCAAAGGATTGAGCAAGGTGCTCCCAGAAACCTCGCTGCTAGATCACAAACAAAAGTTTGTCCCCTCTATCATCATAAAGCTCTTCGCCATAGAATCTCCAGTATTGTCTCTTGCAAGAAGACCACTGGATCCGATTTCGGCGGTTCTTGGGGCTCGCATATTGATGTCTGGCCCCGTCATACTTCATTTCCGGATGCTTGAAGCTAGAGTCGACTCACAGCTGGATGGATGGCTGTGCGCTTCTAACATACAAGAACCTTTGAAACTGGAGAACATGATCAAGTCCTCATGTCTAGCCCACTGGCGAAGCCTGAATGATAATCTGAGATAGTAGCGGCAACCCTGGTCGAAAACACGCTTCTAGTGTTCAGCCTGCACAAATATGTTTCAGTGAAGCACGAAGTGACTAGGTAGGGCTTTTGAAGCTAGTGATCAATGCAGAGCCATAGTGAGGTCGCTGGGTCGACTTCGCTCGATTATTGAAACAACCAAAGGATCGGATCAACCGATCTACCAAGCCACATGGTAGCAGCTTCATGAGAGGCCATCGAGCCGTGGCCAAAATCAGACCACGTGAAAATCCTTTGCATGGCCCTGGTTCTGTTTCTGCATTTTGGCATAGCTATGCGTCTCCTGTGCCATCGATAGTATGTGCGCGACTGTAGTAGTCAGTTATTATTAGCAGCACTGGAAGCACTGGGTAAGGTTCTTCAGGAGGGGAGACCATTTCTTGGCCAAGACAAGCCGGAGGATGACGACATTGCATGGGTAGTTGTGGAGATGGGTTCTGAAGTAAATA